TGTCGAGGTGAAGGATACGGCAATTGTGAGTGATGTATACAGTTTTGCTGAGATATTTTCGGGCGATAATCGGGTTCGATCGTTCCGTCATGTCTGGACTCGATTGAAGCATTCTATCTCGCGTCGCGGGCGTCGCGCTTTGAACGTTGTGCCGGAATTGTCATCGTACGATTTATACTCTCCGATTCTCTCTGAAAGGAGAAAGCGGGCCGTCGAGTGATATTGTAGAATCGAGTGATTTAAGTGACGGAACGCCCGCGCTGTGATACATCGCTCGTTCGTGAATATTTCGCGTCGCGTAAGTTAACACGGCCGGCAATCACGATTCTTCGTGCGAAGTACTAATTGTGCGGTTTTCCATTCGCGATATTTACAAATTTATTACCGTACTGTGCGTGCGATATATTTAATTTTAATTGTGCATTTTCGATTAATTAATCGCGTGTCGTTAACTAATCGTCCGCTTGACTCGCGTAGTATCGCGCCAAGGTGCCGTCATTTTGAAAGATTTCGTCGCCATTCGCGTAACGACCGGAACGCGGTACGAATCGGTGTCGAAGACTCCTTCAGGTTTGCACGATAAATCTGTGTTAGAATATTTCGGCAAATGATATATCGGGAGTGACACGCTCGGCCTCGGTGTTGCGTTTTGTACGCGACGCGCTTTGTTCACGTGAAAATAACCGTGCGAGAGAAAAACTCATCGCGGCCGCAGACAGCTAGTGCAAAATCGTTCCGTGCGTCGCGTCGTAACGTTAGGATCTCTCGACCATACGTCGCGGACAATATGCAGTTACCTCCCGCGCAAGTATAATGGTGCGTGTACACCTGCGAGTAAAAATTCTCGAGAGTAAGGGCCAGCGCACGAATATTGCCGTAGCGTCTTACGCTTTACGTGAGAATTATATTGCGTTACGCGAAACGCAAGCCAATCTTATGGCAACGCACAAAAAAGAACGTAACGTAATTAGTCTTATGTTACGTACGTTATATTACGCTTTTCTTCGTGCGTTGCCGTAAGATTGGCTTGCGTGTCGCGTAACGCAAGATTCTCACGTAAGGCGTAAGACACTACGGCAATGTTCGTGCGCTGGGCCTAACTCTCGAGAGTGATTCTCGCACATGGACATACTCCTGAAAGTACCTAAAAGTAGGTACTTTCCATTTGCGAAAATCACTCTCGAGAGCTACTCTCGAGAGTTTTTACTCGCAGGTGGAGACGCACCATTACGCTTACGTTCAGTGATTCGCGCGGGATTCAGTGACTCGAATATCGGGTGACGAATACTTGGTTAATCGGATACGTACTTGGCGTGATCGATCTATTCGGTTGTGGGAATCGAAGCGGCACGCGACGGGAGTACCGAACTTGGATCGCATCGCGTACTTTTGCGCGATCCGTTTGATTTCAATTGATCGTTTGAAATACGCGTGTATAGAGCCTCGCGAACAATTAACGAGAGTGTCGTGTAAAGTGGCGTCGGGGTGAATTTGTGTCGGACATTATCGAGAGAGCTGACAACCCGAGAGGTCAACCTGAGAGGAGGAGGAGGCCTAGGAGAGGCATCGGGCATCGGCGTACACCAACGTTTCTGGTAAGCGTTACTTTTTATTTTTTTGTAGAGATAATCCCTTTTTTCGTTTATCTTTCAGTTGCTTTATATTATTAAACCATGATTCGGAAATTAAATTAGTATTACAAGAAATAATTTGAAAAGTTTGATTAAAGTTGATTCTAACGTAAAGTACTTTTTTGAAATAGTAATTTAAAAAAGTGTTAAATTGAATAACGAATAAGATGTTCGATGCGCGTAACAATTATTTAATCGATTCGATTATTTATATGTTATTACAGAAAATATCCGCGCGGGAAGGAGTATCTTCGCATCGAGGGAACAGTAGCTGCCTGAGAGGAGGTGGAGGCCTAGGAGAAGCATCAGGCGCCGGCGGAGCAACATGCGGTAAATATAATTTATTTATACTTATACATATATTATATCTTATACGGATGGGTCATTTACTTTTCAACCGGATAGTTATTCATAAAATAAAAGTTAGAGAAAAAGTTTTATTTTAGAAATTCTATAGAAGCTTATGTTCAATGGATAGAGTATAATTCGTAAGAAATTACAAGAGTATTTCATTAAATTTGTTTAATAAACAATAATATAAAATTTAGTGTTTAGTAATCATTTTTTGAAATATTAACTGTCGCTCTCTTTTGTGCCCTACTTTAATTCGGATTTTATATTTGTTTGTTACAGAATCATCGTAGCGACGTTGCAGAATAACTCCGCCGTTGCGCATCGGTCGGTGAGTGATAATTAAAATTTTATGATTAAGGTAACGGATTTATGACAATTACGTCAAATATATTGCAGAGACGCTATGTCAAGTTATTACAAAAAATTATTACATATATTACGTTTCATAAATTCGTTAACTTAAAATGGAATGACTGTGTCAGATTAGGATTTAACATTTAATCCTGATGGATAAATCACATAAATTGATTTATCGTACATTCTGTCATTGTAAATTCTATCCCAAATATCTTTCAGGATTAAGTGTTACATAAATTGGTGCAAGAATACAATATATACACTTAGGCTACGGTCAACGTGACGCTACAAATGCTTCGAAGCATTCCTCTTCTCTTTTCTTTCAATGAAGAAAGAAAGAGAAGAAGAACGCTCCAAAGCATTTGTATAGCGTCACGTTGACCGTAGCTTTAGAGATGCTTTTAGCTTGCATATATCACGATTGAGGATAAAAAGTCTTATACTTTGCATTATTTTAATCATTTATTGTTATGTATATACAATCTATTTAATATCTAATAACCAAATTGTGTATGTTACGATCATTATTTAAAATTATTTGTTCCTATAACGCATCAATTTTAGCCTAAGCTTTCACAGTCTATTTATATGTATTGATAACTGGTTTTTATACTAGTTAAAGCGATATGACGTGAGATCTAATAAATGATGTTTTCGCGAAACAGGAAATTTTTTGTAATAATTATTTTAAACTTGATTAATTAATTTCGCGTTATAAATACTTGATTTTTAGTAGTATAATTATCGTAATAAGATGTAGCTATCAAAATTCAAATTGTTTGCTCGAGTGCACAAAGTATTCACATTAGCTCAATATTGTGCGGGAACTTGATTATCTCTCTTGGATCTCACGTCATTAATTCTTTATTTTTCACCCTTTTGAGGTGAGACTCGATATGCGAAACGATATCGAAAAAAATGGGTCTTATATTTTTTCAGTTCGCGTTTGTCAATATTGTTTATTCATTTACATTTTGAATTTTTATTATTTAAGTCCTGCATGCTTATATCAGATGTAATTCAAGTTTCTATTATTCGTAAAATGTGGTCGAATTTATTCGGATTATACGCGGTTGCTTAAAAGGTTTTTTCCAAATTAACAGCTCCTAACTAATTAAAATCTTTTTTGTTCTTAATCGAGAAAATGATCATTTGCGTAAATTAGTATATACGATAGTAAGTAGATTTTGAACGCTAGTAATTTTATAATTACTTAATTTAATTTTGTTACAAATGGCCCTTCGCGACGCGGTCGTGTGGAAAAAAGCGTAAAATCATTACGCTCATCTGGCCGTCTATAATCAGGCGGCAACAGAAGGAGTATTCCTTCTTCTTGTCTCTGGCTTTGTCAGAATGGATTTGACCATGAAATGGTCAAACCTGTCAAAGGAGTGAAGATCTACATAAGGTAGGTTGGTGTTGAACACCACCAATTTAGTGTATAATGTGCATACAGGTAGGGTAATATTTGCACATGTGTACGCGTAATCGGAGACGGAAAAGTGACGTCTCCAGGTTAATCTCAATTAATCGCGAACTTAACATCTTTTAAACTCTCTTTTAAAATCTTTACTTCCTTAATTTCGGGTAATCGCGGTCGCGATTAGTTAATATTGACAATTTAAATAAACTAATAATAATAAAACTAAATAAACTAATAAATTCGGATAGGCCGGAATAAGGTGTTAGGTAAATAGAAACATGATAGGAATATGAAATATTAGGTAGGAATATATGAATAACATATAGAAATATATGGATAGGCAAAGAATACATGCATAGAGATATTACTTCGGGTTAGGTAGGAACACGGATGGATTGTAACTCGTACTGTTAATTATATAGGATAATGTAACAAATTAAATTTTAGTAAATTTCAAATATGTTATAGCTAAGTAATATTATATTATACACACAAACATCCGCGTCGACTCTTGTAGCCACATTTACCTTTTCTATTCCATTGAAATTTCGGTCAAGAGGGAATGCCGCTCTACGAGACTCGAAATATTTAAAATTTAAATGTGCTCGGAATTACTTGCAATTTCAAGGCAATTTTCTTTCGAGAGCTAGATGTCTGTTTTCTTGCCTCTCCGCTCGGTCGATGAGCCCCATAAGTGCGCTGCTCAAGCATAAGACTGTCACATGTTTGCAGGAACTTGCGAGAGGCGCTCTTCCTAATTACTATCTAGGCTGCGATCAGAAATTCAACCTGGGTAACTCTAAGCTATAGTTTACGTTACATACACTATAGCATTAGAGTTATCTAGGTGTGCCTAAACGTAATTTCTGAACGCATCCCTTATTTTTATTGAATTTCTGATTGAAATTCTCTGCTTTTTTTTTAATTTTTATATACGCTATCAATATATTTATATTATAATTACAAATAACAAATAGCTCTGCACGTCATCCATTTTATTATGAAGGTACTATTACTGCTAACGCGTTTCTTTTTTAAGTAATATCCCTGATAAGCCTATTCAACTGAGAAAAAAAACAATTTTTGATTTTATCTGAGCAATGGAAAATACATAATATAAAAAGATCATGATCTTTTGAATCGTTTGTAATAACTGGAGTTATCAAATGGTATTTAACTAATGTTTATATGATGTCGTTAGAAGCTCGCCACCGCAGGTGCGGAACGCGTGATCGAATATTTACGAAATTCCATGCCTGCGAAGACGGGGTCGTTGATCACGCTTCGATCACGCGTTTTGCGTGCGGAAACCGTTCCTCGGTCGCGGCCAGGAATTTAGTAAGCCTTCAGAAGCCACGAGAGCGACACGTAGAGCGCGATAATACTCCGAAACTGTAAAATAAAGTGTGAACTACCAACGACAATCCAGTTTCTTATTGGACTTCCTCTCCACGTTCGCGGAGTAACTCCGACCGAGATATTACGCCCCGACGCGTATGTACATAGCGGACCGGCAAAACTGATACGAACAGATGTCGATAGTTATAACTACAGATGTTATTAAACTCTATTAATGGTGAACGTATAAACTTATTATAAAACTATTTTTTTATTTTTTTAGGACTGCTTTTGTGTGTGTTGTGGAAGAGTTATTTGCTGGTAGCGTAAAACTGATTTTTTGGATTTTCGGTCCAGCAATCTGAAAATGAAGATGGCATCGAATATTTCAAGCAAACATTCAAAAATATTTACGGAGAAAGTTATTCAAAAGGAAGACTCTTCCGCTGCTATGAAGATACACGATGAAAATGGCATACAAAACAAAAGTGAAATCTATACAAAACCTGAAGGCTGGTTCAAAACGGAACTGAAGTGGCGTAATATAATATTTATTAGTGTTCTCCATTTATACTTCGTATATGCCTGTTTTACTTTTAAATTTTTCGAAAATCTGAAGACAATCGCTTGGGGTGAGTATCCTTTAAAAAATTTTTTGTTAATTCGATTCTTTTTAATACTCTGAAAAAATACGTATAACAAAAAAATAAACTATAGTCCGTTAGGAAAGGACCCATTTTTTATAATTTCATTATAGGATTAAATGTCTTACATAACTAAACATAACAGTTTGATTAAAATTGTATCGCACATTTATTAAAAAAGACAAAGTCGATTTCAACGATTTCTGAAACGGATGACAGTTGATTGAAGAGAACATTCAATACAAGCCAGCACATTGTAGTTCAAAACTTTTTAT